GATCATATATATATTTTTAAGGAATGAAAGCTGATGCTATATTTTATAGCCAGTTTCTGAGAGGAAGTTATTAAAAGGGGGTTTTTATGTTATTGTTGGGTAACAGAGAGAGGTTTGGTAAAATCTTTTTCTTTCTGTCAGCATTAACCACCTTGTATTTAATGGAAGTATTAGTCTGATATATGCACTAAAATGAAGACATTTTTGAAGAGGGGATGCCCTATATAGTGAGAAACTGTAACTAAACACTAATAATATAAGAATATATTAAGCTAGAAAAAAACTCTTCCAAAGTAAAATCAAGGAAGGAATCCTGTCAATGGCTTCAGGAGACAACACAGAGCTCTCTCTTTAACATTGATGTCTGTAGTTCTTGTTATGATTTGTATTCTGAGGAAATATTGGATTTCCATTTGGTGAAGTCAAAAGGTAAATTCATCTGAAGGAAACTACTATCACCTAAACTAGAGTTGGAGCTTCAAGTTCCCTCTTTTTCTCCCTTTCTAAGGTTGGATGAATGGTTGAAAATGAACTGCCAATTTTTTGAGTGCTTGTCTTTAAAAAATAAATCTTGTTTTAAATTAATAATCAATGTCTCTTGATCTCAGGGTATCTGAACTATTTAGCTGGTGAATGTTTTCCCCATCACTGCCTTAAATTGTAAGCTAGCAGAACAAATTCCTTTGATTTGGAAAAGCAGAATTTGCTCTATTCTTTCTGGTTTGTAAAGGCACAGACTGTTTTTGAACATAAGAAAGACGACTTCTCTCTGGCAGTCAAATCCCGAGATGAAGCCTTACGAGAGTGTCAGAAGATCAAGGGACAGATGGAAGCCATGGAAGAGAGAGAGAGACATAAGGCAAGGAAGCAGGAGTTAAAAAATGTGACAAATGTGGCAGCCTGTGCTATATAGCCTTGCTCAGGCTCCAGCATCATATTTGTAAGTTTTAGTACATCTAATTAACCTTTGGTTTCTACTTGAACAAACCCCACTGCTCATCTGGAATGTATGTAAAATATCCTCTGCTAGTCTCAAGGTGTTATGGAATCCTCTGCAATATTGCTGCTGCATTGCCACATTTTTGGTTGACAGCCATTGGTAAAGTAGATAGACTATGTCAGTAGGAAGGAGGTATTGAGGAAAGTAACCAGGGCTAATCCATAGAAGATTTGGTTTTAACAGTTAGAACCTGATTCTCTTCTCTCAATGTAGGTCAGGTCTCATCTTGCAATTGGTGGAGCTGATACCGGTGTAAAGTAGGAATGAGACGGGACAGCCTCCAATTTTAAACCTTTGCCTAATAGTATGGGACGGTCTCCAGCATGGGCAATTGGTGCCGCCTTAGGACGGGGGCACATGCCACTGCAGCGACCAGTCAGCAGCTTGGGGGTGGGAGACTAACTATGGCTGATCTCGCTGACCCTGGAGAGGCAGAAATGAGGGTGCCCCTCGTGGCCAATTGCTGTGGCCGCTTCCAGGAGTAGCTGCAGCTGCTTCTGGGAGCACAACAGTGCTCCACTCCCTAGCCAGCGCTTGCAGGGGGGCACCGGCATTCCTGCCGGCCCCCCTGCTCATTGCCTAAGTGATGAGCATGGCCAGTCAGGGGGTGCACGTTTACCCTCTTGCACCTCTTACACATCACCACTGGTCTCCAGGCAAAATACAACCCGCTAAATGTTTGACTTAAAACTGGACAACACTATAGCATGCTATTAGAGTTCATGTCATGCTCTCATTCCTTAGGTCAACAGGAACTGAAGGCCAAAAAAACCTCCATGTTCAACTAATCAATTAGTGTGTCATTCTTAGCCAGAATGGCAAGTTGTTCTGATGGACAAATATTTTTATATGATGAAGAGAAGGGTGAGAAGTGGAGAGAAATCCAGAGAATTTTTTTTCCTGTCAGGGTGCCTCCAAATGTACTGAGGGAGACCAAATATTTCCAGAGCTTGAGGGAGCAGAGTATGACCAAAGTAGTCTTTTTTGAGTTAACTTATTTTCCCCTGGCCTTTGCTTGCTGTCCTGTACTTAGGTGGCAAATTTACAGCGCCAATTAAAGGAAGCAAAGGAGAATAATGACAAAGTGGCAACCATACTGGAGAATGTGTTGGTTTCTCATAGCAAGATGCAGGCAGCTCTGGAGAAGGTACAGACCGAGCTGGGATCTAAGGATTCCGAGATCACCAGCCTCAGGAAAGATAGGTAACTGAAGTCCTTCTGGTTTTCTATGTTGCTATAGCAAAGAAACAGCAGGGTCAAGGGAAGAAATAACTTGATCACTGCCTTTTTTCTGAGGTTCAGGCAAGAAAACTATACAAGATTGATAAGCGAGTTTTTACTGAACCAAAACCTAGTTTCAGAATTCCTGTAGCTTCTTGTAATATTACATGGAAGAAAGGAGGCATAGCAACGAGCTCTACTTAGTACTAGTGGACTAATTACTTTATTATACATCTAGTCAACTCTGGAGGGGTTTTGGTTGCAATGGATGGTGCTGATTGCAGATGCCAGGACCCAACTGATTATTAACCAAATTACCTCTTTTAACATGTCTCATCTTCACATGATGCTTGGGAATATGTCGGGTGATATGACACTATTGGTTGGAGCTAGGTGCATTATCATGGTGTCATCAGAAGCAAAACAAAAATTGGTAGTAGCAACTAAACAGAATTTGAATATTAGTCCCATTTTTTAGTTTTCTAACAAAAAAAGAAACTAAATAGCTATCCCTCTGGGAGGAAGAAAGTGAAAGGTGGCTTTGGTGTTAGTTTCTTGCCTTTTCTTTAATCTGTCACTGCTTTCATTTGCAGAACCCAAAGCCAACAGAAAATACAAAGATTAGAAGCAGAATTGGAGCAGTGCCAGGCCAAACTGGTTTTCATAGAAACCCAACACAATAACCAGGTAGAGACCAAGTTTTTCCAGTCATAGCAAGTAGGTTTCATTCTGTGATACTGAACTACCATGTTCTCTTGGAAAGTAGAATGTGGGGGCATGTGTTCTACTAACTTATTAAGACAAAAAAAAGACACAAAACACTGGAGGAATCATTTTACAGAAGATGTAGGAGCCAAGTAAAGCCCCCTTTCTATACCAGGGTGCCTTGAGAGTGATAAACATCTGACTGTCTGAACTGGATACAGAACATGTATGCATAGACATGCATTTACTGTGCCTCAGCTATTCAGTAACTACCTATTCCCACAATGTTACCTTGTGGTAAACGAAAGCTAATTCACATCCCTTTTTCATGGAGTGCTTAATTACCACTGTTTAGCTATCATTTACAATGGGGTAAGTGTGCATGCTGGCAGTTACTAATCACTCCATGCTAATCACTTGTTGTTTGAGTACTGCAAAGAAGCTTTGAAGCAAATCCTGCCCCATGTCTGTGTGTAAAAGGATATTTGCCACAATGTAGAGCCTTGAAACAGAACAATGTATGAATTAAGGGTCTGCATCAGGCAAATAAATATGTTCACAGCCTTTACTTAATGACTTAATTGTTGTGTAGGCAGCTGGTGATTAGAGTTCCTCTCCCAGTAGACTAACACTGAGTAGGACACACATCATTCACTTTTAATGGGGCAGTGGTGAGAGAATGAACACCCCCACATTTTGCCACGTGGAGGTGTTCATTCACGTAAATCTGGAGTTGGATCTTTCTTTACCCTTCAGGTGGGGCCACTTCGTAAAGCACTAGAAGCTGCAAGAGGTGACAACAAGAAACTTGCCATTAGTTTGGAACAAACTCTGCAAACCAACAGTACCCTGCAGAGCAAGCTGACCCAGACCCACTGTGAATTGGACAGTAAAGAAATTGAGTGTCAAAAGCTGATCATTTGCAGGTAAGAATAGGTTTGAGGCACCACAGCTGAGGAAGATTGTCTTCCCAAGTCTAATGGCAGGGCTTATAACAGGGGTGGGCAATTATTTCAGGTGGAGGGCTGCTTAACAAGTTTTGGTGAGGTGTCAAGGGCCACAAGAGTAACCTCACCCCTTGACAAGTGCCCTACTCCCTGGTCACCATCTTGTGACTGGAAGTCCTGCCTTCTAACCCCTGACCTTTGCTTCTGGGAGTCTTTCCTCTTGCCCAGGAAGTACTCCTTTTGGGGCAGGAGGCAGTTTGCTTGTATATTGTGGGCGGAGTGTGTGGTTGGGGGAGTGTTTGTGGGGTGGGTATGGTGCAGGTGTGGTGTGTGGGGGCGTAGGAGGGGTGTGGGTGTGAGAAACTTCTGGGTGTCCGTATGGGTATGGTGTGGGTGGGTATGTTGAGGGTAGGGTGTGTATGCATGTATGGGGAAGTGTAGGTGTGGGTATATGAGGGTGTGGAATGTGTGTGGTCAAATCCATGTGTGTATGTGGGGCCTGGGTATGGTGGGGGATGCATGTAGTTGGTGTGCATGGAACAGTGTTGGATGCGTGTGTGTGTGTGTGTATGGAGGGGGTGGGGGAGTGTGGGTGTGCATGTATGGGGGCTTCTCCCCTGCCTGCTCATTGATGTGGCTGAAAGCCAGCCCCTCCACAGGTAGGAGGGCGGGGAAGGGGCTTAGCACTGCCTGCTTGGCTCGCAGCATGCTGTGAAGGGCAGGCAAGCAGCTGCCACCACCAACAGAACCAGCAGCAACAACAGAAGTCCCTGCAACAGGGGAGGGGAGCAGGGAGCCAAGCCTGGCACTACCAGCTCTCTTATTCTCTGTCCCACACCTGCCTGGCGGGGCTGCAGCAGAGCCTGCACTGGCTCCTGCTGTTGTTGCTTCTCTCACCTGCCTGCCCAGCAGGGCTGCACCAAGTACACACTGCTCCCCCTTCCCGTCTGTCCCTGCTTGCCCATAAGGGCTTTGTGTGCTGCCAAGCTTCTTCATGCCCCCAACTTCCCCCTCCATCCACACACACTCTCCAGACCAGAGTGAACTGCAGGCAGAGCCCCATTCCCCTCAATGCTGCAGCTTCCCCTCCCTACCTGCTGCCAGGAGGTCCTGCTTGTGCCAGGCAGGGGAGTGTGTAGATGGAGGAGGGAGGAGAGGTGTGAAGGAGCTCAGCAGTTCACAAAGCCCTGATGGGCAGGCAGGGGCAGCCTGCACTTGGCACAGCCCTGCCGAGCAGGCAGGTGAGAGAGAAGCGACAGCAACAGGAGCCAGTGCAGGCTCGGCTGCCAGGTAGGTAGGGGAGAGAGACCAGGCTTGGCTCTCTGTCCCCCCTCCCCTCTTGCAGGGGCTTCTGTTGTGGCTGCCAGCAGCTGCTTTCCCAAGTTGCTGGAGGCTGGGGGAGCCCAGCAGTTCCCTGGGCAGTGGCAGCAGCAGGAGTCATACTCAGAAGATGTGCTTGCTTGTGGAGGAGGCTGGGAGCGCAGCATGCTCTGCCTCGGGCAGGACTCAGCCCCAGGCAGAGCGCAGCAGGGGCAGCTGCAGCCAGGGCTATCAGTACGAGCAACATCCTTGATATTGTTTCATGAATCCAGCAGTAAAACTACATGAATGTGCTGTTTGCCTACTGATGCAGTTGCTTCTTCGGGCTTTTCTTCCATGTTGGAATCCTGGAGTTGGAGCTTAGAATTTCTTCATGGGGGATGGTGTGAAGTAGCCCCAAATGAAAGGCCACAACACTATTGAGGGCTGCCCATGTGGTACATCCTCCATGGACAGCCTTGCAGTGCCACCATAGTTATATTGGCAACAGGGTAGCCTTTTTTTTTTTTTTGTCATGTGGAGGGGCTAAGCTGGAGATTACAAGCTGCCTGCCATTGGTAGGCATAACTTTCTTTGACATGAAGTACCACTCTACCATGTTCTCATTCCTCTTGTCTCACCTACTGGCACTGAGAAAGTTCCCTAAAGCAGAGAAACTCTTTTTATCATTGGCCATTTCATCAGTATTGGCCCTTTGGAGTCAATGCTGGGGAAACAGGCATGCTCAACATGGAGGCTGAGCATCTCCCTAGATTGCTATGCTTCAAAACCAAAATAAAGTCTACGGGTTGCATAATTGTTAACATGCTAAAAGAAGGCACATGCATATCAAAGGAAAGAATGTTGAACCATTTGTCTTTCCTACTGTTTTCTTTTTGGACCATACTTCTAACATGTATTAATCCACTTGTGATCAACTTTCTCTCTCTCAAAGGCAGCAGCTAATTGAAGAAGCCAAGACTGGGGAAAAGTTGTATTCCGAACGCTTGGAGTCTTTGAGGAAGCAATTTCAGACTGAGCGAGAAGCTACCAAGAAGGCGGCCCACAGAGAATCAATTGAGGTGGGAGAGTAAGATTTTTCCAGTGGCTAGATTCCAGAGAAGATCCCTGCTTTACAACTTCAGATTGTCAAATAAGGAAACAAAGGCAATTCATGACACCACTTGCCTGTTTTTCTGTACGATCATGTTATCCTAAAATGAAAAGATAACTCTGGTGCCTGTGGCACAGTTAGAGATGGCATCTCTTGTTTTACCCCTTGAGCTGGAGTAACACATGAACAGTTAGGATATGGTATCTGGAAAGGATCGCAAGGCTATCACACAGCATATACCCTGCAGCAGCAACTTCAATTTATTGTACAATCCTTGTGACATCAGGATTGTTTGTGAAGAGTGGAGGCAGTAAACAATCTGTGCTGCTTTGGGCTTGGAGGGCTAGGCTGCAGAAGGAAATATGTTCTTTGATCACAGAAGTATTCAGGAGCCCAGGGTTAAAACCATGCATTGCTTATGAACACAAAAGGGATCTAGTTTAACAGATACCTTAGGGTACCTATACATGTGACAAACCTCTGCTCTGATAATGCTAATTAGCACATGTCTGAACAGACTCAGTTAGTCAAATGAGCTTTAGTTAAAGCACCTCCACTGCAATTTAGAAGTGCAGGATGCTGAATACACATGACACTGCAGGCACTTTAATTAGAGCGGCTGCTCCAATTAAATCACCCTTACACCCCCATCCCAGAGCACGTATATAGATACCCTTAGTTTCCTATAGCTGAAGTGTCCTTTCAGGACACTCTTTCTAATGGTGGTAAGAAATCCATCCCTCCGATTACTCTGTCTTTAACAGCAAGCACAAACTTCCTTCTCCTCTGTGTCCTTTAGCTGAAGAAAGCTCTTGATAAAGCCTCCTCCAAATCTGCTGAAGTGTCTCGGACGAACAAGGAGTTGCGGCAGAAGGTAACGGACTTGGAAAAGTCTCTGGACAACTACAGGGAGAAGCTGAAGAGCCAGAAAGCTCAAATCAGACACCTTTTGGCCTCCAAGGCCAACAACGCCCAGAACACAGAAAGGATAAAGGTTTGTATGGGTGCTTCATCCCACTGAAATAGTCTGTTTATGTTTTCTTACTCTACCAAGTAGGTCCCAGTCTGACCCCATTGATTAAAGGCCTGTCTGCCAATATGGAAAAAGTAGGGAACTTTCAGTTCAGGAACTCAGGAGAAATTAAAACCTGACAGTAAAACTGGGTAATGCTTGGCCTTTGTTCCTTTTCTTTCTGTATTAAATGTGTTGCTATGATGTCATTCAGTAGCTATCTGGTGACACCATGGCAGCATTATCTCCTTTTACAATCAGTAGGCTGGAGAATGCATCTTTGTCAGAGTCAGGTGGGAGCAGAAGCTAAGCAACTTCTGGTTGTGGAATTTCTCTCTTTACCTTCATGAAGGTCAGTTGTTAGAACATGCATTAGTGCTGGTACTTGTCCCTCCTCTCTGCCTTAAAGAAGATCCTCGGTACTGGGCCCCATTGCAACTCTTTGGGGAAGGTGGAGGAACTGGCACAGTCAGCACAAGTGTGGGTTGCTTCAGACTTCATTCTTGCGATGTGGATGGAAGTTTGGAGTATCCCAATTTCTGTTCCAGATAACAAATAAGCTGAAGGTGGTTCATGCTGTCTGGAATCATTGAGAGCCATAACATGGATCTCCTGAGATTCTCATGTAGTTTTTAACATTTTCAGGAGATTGAATCTGAACTGAGGCAAATGGAGGTGATCAAACAGCAATATCAAAAGAAAAATTATGAACAGGTAGTTTTCAATTAACTTTCTCTTTTATGTGAACTAGAATCTGCGTGAGGGTCACTGAAATCTCATTATTGTGCTGTCTCTAGTCACAGAGCATCCAGAAATTTATGACAGAGTTAACAGGTTTGCAGAGTGAGATGCAGATGTTAGCCAAAAACCAGTATGAAGTAGAAACACAAAACAGACAGCTGAAGACCCAGTTGGAATTACAGCGGAAACTGCGACAGCAGCTAGAGGACCAATGTCAGGTAAGATGCTTGTAGATGTGGAAAATAATGTCCCATTCTGGAGCTGAATGCTTACTTGTTATTAGACTCCTATAGATGGAGGCTAAGTGCTGGTGACTTCCTACTCCAAAGTGTGCTGTTCAAATCTTTCCCTACACCTGCTTATTAGGGCATGGATGGTAGTTTGCTGTGCAGTTTAGGATCTGACTTGCAGGGAAGGACAAAGGGAAAGGTTGTTTGTTTTTTTTAAATTCAGATTTCTAATCTGGAGTCTTGGCTTTTTTATTACACGAGTTGAATATTTTTATGCCCTGCTTCAGAATAAAGGGAGGAATCTCTGTGACACCTTTCTCCTTGTGTAGAGCCTGGAAGAAACAGTCAAACACCTGAAGAAATGCAAAGAGGAAACTGAGCAGAAACTGAAAGAAGCCAGGGTAGAGTCAGAACAGGCAAGTACAATCCAAGAAAGAAGCTACGCTTTGATAGAATTGGCCTCTGAGTTGTCATCCATGGTGGATTGGGCTCTCTACATCTTAAAAGGTGGGATTTTTGTTAAGTGGGAGTAAAGATGCATCCCCATTTGATTTCACCCTGTATGACTGATTCTCAACCAGGGTGCCACTTAGCCCTGGGGTGCCTTGAGATCCTTTCATGGGTGTTACAAGATGCCACACAATGTTAGTACCGTTAATTTACAGACATGAATAAAATAAGCCCAGAGATTTTCAATAGAAATCCATAGTGGTAATCAGAGTTCTTTGCCTATTTTTCTGTAGGCAAAAGAAAGAATGAAAACTAGAGCTGGCAGTTCCATGGGGTGCCTTCAGTCTCAAAAGAAGTGCCTCAAGTCTTAAAAGATTGAGAACCTCTGTCCTCTATATCAGTTACCCCATAGCAGAAGACATTTTTCAGTTTAGAGTTCTTAGTATTCTGCACAGGCCATTTGGTAACAGGAAGGTCTTACCACAGCTTGAGGTTGTTTCACCTGGTTCAGTGGCTGATATCAATGTAAATCTATTAATTTGTTAACGGACTTCCTCTGCGAGCTGCTGTTGTGTCATTTTGAATGATGTCACACCAAATCACATCTTCTTGAAGATGGAATCAGATTCAGACCAAATGAAACATTGTTGCAGTGATGATTGTTTTACAAAGGATACCTCTGCAAGTAAGAGAGTAGGTAAGGTCCCCACAGTTCAGGGCACATGGGCCATAAGTAGCACAGACATCTACTGTGTGTGGCATGTGAGCCCCAGACACTCAAAAGGAAGCACTCCTGCAAGAGAAAGTGTCAGGTGTCACTATCAACGGACAGCTTTAACCTCCCCTGGCCCTGCAGCTACAATCCAAAAATGGGCTTTGGATCCTTGCTCGCCATATAAACCTGCAACAGAGCCAGAGAAGGATTAAGCTGGCTTTTGGTGGTGACGTCTCTTGCACAGCATCCTTCCCCTGTCCCATCCCCCACTTGCCAATGCCCTAGGACACAAACTCCATCAGGTGTTCTGGGTGGGGAGGAGAAGATCAGAACAGCACTTGGTGAGGATCAGTACTTAACCTGTGGCATACCAGCCACTACTCTGCAGTATTTCATAGCATTTGTTTATAAGTCTGTTCAGAGCAAAAAGCCTTCATAATTCAAAAGGTAAAACAGGGACTATAAAAACGTTATAGTATTCATCATTTTTTTTAATGTTTTCAAAACATTTCCATGCAAGGGCCTGGCTCGCAAATAGTTCCTCAGAGGTTTTCTGTATTTGGCCTCTATTTTCTTCTCTTCTCCACCTTGTTTTAGATGCTTTTTCCTTCTTCTTAGCCCTGTCTTTTTCTTGGCCAGTCCCAGCAAGAGTCTCATTAGTAATTTAGTAAGGGCATAACAGCAGCATAACGTACAATTGTACCATCACCTTCAGTGATACAGGACCAAGTGGAAAAGCTGTCCAAGTGTTGTGATCTGTACTTACATATACAGGGATCAGAGCTGGAATTCTGCCTCCAGTGTGGAGCTCAAAACTTGATCTTGCTACTGGTTGTCTTTCTGACTCTTACCGTTTTCTCTTTCTCAGATCACAGCTAACCTGGAGGAAGCTCATCGCTGGTTCAAATTTAAGTTTGACAGACTGCAGCTAGAGCCAGTAAAAAACCATCAGCTGAAGATCCCTAATGAAAATAGTTATGAAAAGGAGGTAAATAAGTAAACTGCTTCTCTTCAAGGCAGGGCAGCTTGAAGAGAATCAGACAGTAGGTGTGGCTGGGAAATAATGGTACTAATAATCATAAGGAACAAGCATTCCCTACAAAGAAACAAGTACTGGTAGTAGCTTAGGAAAAGTAATAGCAGGTGCCCTCTCTGCAGTGGCAATTACTTACGTCAGAAGAAAACCAAACACTCCTGTGTTTGGATATACCTAATCTGCATATATGTATTTTCTGGAGAATTTAAAAGGATTCAACCCTACTATGTCCTGTTGTAGACCAAGAGAGTTGTTATTTCCAAACAAACAGAACTTCCCCACCTCTAATGGAAAAAAGAGCCAAATTAGAATAAGTTTAGTTTTTCATGTTAAAGCTAGCTAACAGAATTTCAGTTTTTTAAGCTCCCTGTTATTCCATCAAGCATCTCATTACCACAAGAAAAACAAAAGGTCAAAGTCAGCCTCATTCAAGTATGTAGCTTGTTCGCTGACCTCTTGCTTATGGATGCAAGTAGCATGCCTTATTTAGTAGATAAAATACATCCACATGGGGATATGTTGGGCACAGGAAAGGAACTACAAGGGACTTGTTTCTCCACTCTGCCATAGCTGCTATATTTCTGTCTGGTGCTCTTTTCCCTAATAATTCTACTGAAAATTAGTGCCTTCCTTTTGGACTTCCTTTTCCACAACTATGCAGTCCCTTGCCCTTTTTTTTTTTTTTCAGACTCCTTTTTGGAAAAGGAAATACAAAACTTTATTTATGTAAAGATCTAAGAGACTTGTTACAAATGTAGCTATCCCTGCATTACTATTTAAGCTAGCTCTAAAGACGTACCTTGAGCTGTTGAAATATCTCTGTTGGATGTGCAGAATGGTTCTTTTCTGGGGAATAACTCAGTTTGCATGTTATCCTTTTAACAGGCCCAGAAGGAAGAAGCAATGAAACTTCCTAGCCAAGCCTCCCTAAATCGCTGGGAGACCAAACAGCAGCTCAAACTAATTGCCAGGAAGTATCAGTCTGAGCTGGACAGGAAGTGATGTCATGTGACCCATCTGATCCAGCCTAATCTACCACCTGTGAACAGCATAGTTTCTGGCCAGATCATCACATTCTGGCAGCAGATGTACTCAGGGTAATCCTAAGCCTAAAGCACCTTAACATACAAGTAACTGCATATTTATGGAGAAGACTTTTTGAGTGAACATAAACAGAGGCCTTGTCACCTGTGCGTTTGAAGGGGGCCCTGCAATTAAAACAGATATGGACTTGCTAGTTAGTGCACCAGTGCACAGACAGGTTTTTGTATACTTAATAGTGTTATATTTAAATCATATATTTTGCTTCTGATTAACTTGTAAGTCTCGGCTATCCAGTACTACTGAGACATCATTGTCTGAGACCCAAATTACCATTTCCCCCTATTTTAAAATGATGGAACTAAGATTAGCCAAAGCTATTTATAGCAAAGATATTCTCTCTAAAGCAGCTGTATAGGAAGCTTTACCTCCCAGCCCTCATTTGAGTTTTGACAGCTTAAAATTAGGCCTGGGTTTGCAAGGCAAGCAGGTGTTAGCAATACTTTGAGAACCCAGAATGCTCTCAAGGGGATTTAGCCTCTTCGGAATGGTCTGTAACATTCATGGGTTAGCGAGAGTAAAACTTCCTGAGCCAAGGTAGGCACGTGTCCATTGCTGGGTGTTTCTGATTTGTGGGATCAGTTCTCAGCTGATAAAAATGACTCTACTGCTGCCAACAGCAGCTGAGTCTAAGCAGTGAGGAAACAGAGATGTCAGCCCATTCTGGAACCCTACCTATTTGCAAGGTACATGGGAGGGGATCATGGTATATAATCAGGGCCAGTGTGATTAACGTAACTGATTCAGCCTGTCCCACTTTGGACAAAAAAGTCTTAATTTTTATATCTCAAAGGAAAGAAGTTTTAAATACTAATGTCTTTTGCTTTGGATGGCTCCTTTGTTTCACTGCTCGGCTGATAATCACTTATGACCATCCTACTCCTCTGGCTGGACTTTACAGCATAACCCAGCGTAACAAGATGCGTGCTGTGACAGCCCTAACTTCTTATAAATTATCAGTACTGTTGGCATCTGACCATGTGGTGTTCTTTGCTTCTGCAGAGCCTGAAATGAGAGACTTTGCCTTCCTATAGGATCAGGTCAGGGGCCAAGCACAGTTGGTGCCTAGTTAATGCTACCCCAGCCTGCTTATAAACCTGCATTTGTACCACATGGACTTTAAATGACAATAGCTTGCTCCACTTAAGTTAAAGAATGATGCTTGTTAACTTCAAGTGGACTGCCTCAAAAAATCCTAAAATCTTGTTAATACCACTTTGACTTTCCCCTCCCTAGATACCATTACGGTGAAGAGATGCCATACAATTCACATCTCCTCCCTGTATTTAACTGGATAAAGTGAGAACAATCTTGTTTATCCACCTCATAGCAATAAGTCAATAGCAAACCTGCAACTAACTCCTGCTTTTCATAGCACCAGACTATAAAGCAGTCTTAACCTGAAACCAACCAAGGAATATTGCTTGCTGCCTTATCTTTTTCTATAAATTAGATCTATTTCATTAGGAAATTAATTTTTAATTATAAATCACCGCGACCTTTTTCTGTAAAGGGCAGAAAACGTTCTTCTCTCAGAAGCCCAGCAAAAGGCACAAGTAGAAATGGTTCATTGGAGGGGAGAAACTGTGCCAGATTCTGGCATCCAGTTTCTTTCAGCAGTTGTTGCTGATCCATGTGTTTAGTGCATTTTCCTTGTCAAGCTTCATGCTGTCTCTTTTCAGCTACAGGTCTCTGGAGTGCTGTGTGTAAATATAAGTGTAATCCAACCCTGTAGTTTCAATAGCCATTAAATTGTCTTTAATTTTTTTGTACAAAGTTGCAACTTGAGTCATTCTGTTCTATGCTTCAGGCCTCCTATTACTGCTTATAACTTGAAATGTGAGAGCCCCTTGTCCCAAATTATGATTTAATCATGGGAATCATAAGGCAAAATATAATTGTAAATATTGCTTGTATTTATTTTCATCCTTTTCACTTTCAAAATTGTCTAGAGTATGGGCTATTACTTACCTACTATTGTAAATCTCACTTGGTGGTGAAAAAAGGCTCAGGAAACTATAATATAAGAGGTTTTTTCCTAAGAGCTCCCATCAGTACAATGGAAGAGTAGCTGCAGATGAGAGCATTTCCCAAATTAG